TTGTGATTTGGGGTTTAGGATGGCCAGTGTGGAAAAGGGCTGGGGGCTCTGGACAGGCTTAGCCTCCCCTAAATGAATGGAAATCACGCCACAGTTGGAGCCAGGGCCAGGTTCTTGTCCAGGATGGGAGGCTTAACCTTGCTCAACTTCATCCCCGTCTGCAGAGGGAATCGTGCAAGGTGCCTGCCTTCTCTACCTTCCTGAAGCGCATGGGGATTAAGTGAAAGAATTTAGTTAATAGTAAGGTGTTTTTCTTTTGAGAGACTTCTGTAGGTGGAGAGGGGGAAAAATCAGTAGTTGGGAGAAGGGACTGAGAGGAAGCGAGGCCGCCAAAGCAACCCTCACATTTGCCTGGCTGTCTCACTCCACGCACCTGCCACTTCTTGGGCTCTCACTTTCAGGGTTGAGCGGGATGCTGCGGAATGGCGAATCCACATGGGATGGGCCCCTTGAGAATTGACCGTTCTGCAGACGTGAAGACAGGTGTGTGGATATGAGAAGAACCGCCCCCCCCCAGGAAAGTAAGCAAGAGGGAGGGCTGACTACTGCAGCCTCCAGCCAGCTCCTCCAAATACTGCTCTCCACCTCAGTTGTTTGTTTTGTGGTTTTTTAATTTTTTTTTAAGATTTTATTTATTTTTGACAGAGAGAGAGACTGTACAAGCAGGGGAAGCAGCAGGCGGAGGGAGAGGGAGAAGCAAGCTTCCCACTGAGCAGGGAGCCCGATGCTGGGCTTGATCCCAGGATCCTGGGATCATGACCTGAGCTGAAGGCAGACGCTTAACCGTCTGAGCCATCCAGGTGCCCTTGTTTCGTTTTTTTAAAGTGGGCTCCACACCCACGGTGGAGCCCAGTGCAGGTCCAAACTCACCACCCTGAGATCAAGACCTGAGCTGAGATCAAGAGTTCAATGCTTCACCCGCTGAGCCACCCAGGCGCCCTTCTCTGCCTAGGTTTTATGCAGGAAGTAGATACCAAGTGAGTCTGTTAAATCAGTGTCTGAGTGCAGAGGGCATTGATGGCCGTAGTCTTTTGTGACCACAGGAGGTTGATTCCTTTGCCTTGGGTGTCAGAGGTGTGACTTGTGCAGAGGACCAAGAACCCAAGTGAATCTTTTTGTTCCCAGGCAATCCACAGTTACGTTTTCTTAAATTGCTTTATTTGAAGTCATTCCAGACCTTTATCTCACCTGAATGTTTGGGCTTAGGGTAAAGCTGTGTTCATTTTAACATTGCCTATTGGGTTTGAGCAGTCCTCAGAACCTCCTGGAAAGTTCCAGAGAGCCAAAAGTTAAGGCCAAGAGTGGCACATGCTTCCTATAGATACCTTCTAACCCCCCCTCCCTCTATTCACATCCCCCCAAAAAAAGTTTCAAATGGAGTTTGTTTTCAGTTTAGCCTGGCAGAGAGGAAAAGCCCAATTGATTGTATGGTAAGTTATGATTTCATTTTCTGCTGATTTTTTAAATGAAATATTTAAAATGATTTAAAATCCTGGAGTCCCTACCTCCATGGTGATTAATATCTATCACATTATTGGTAACTGGTTGGTTCTTAGGGCAGCCACGCCACATGAGAGACCTAATGCCTGTGTAGCAGACCCTTACAAAGATGTCAGATGTGTCGTGTAAAAAAGAAAATTCATCAATATATTTGACAAAAATCCTTACATATTTTTTTCTGAGAGCCTGCCTTTAGCCCAGAATGGTTGTCATACAAGGATACCTAACCATTGTAATGCAACATTTAAGCCTTAAATTGTCCTCAGGAGATAATGATTTGTCCTAAAGTAACAAGGTATCCGGTGTCTCAGAGAGCCTGGCATAGTTAGATTTTCAAAAACTGCAGTCCAGATTCGTCGACAACCAATGAAAAACCATCCCAAATGGGAGATTAGACACACCCAATCCCTGCCAGTCAACTTCATCTTTTTGAAATCCTTAAAATATGTTTTACATCTCATCTTCTATATTTGATCTAAAAAAAAAGAATTTTATAAAAGCTGGTATCCTCTGTACAATCGTAAATATATTTTTTCTTCACGTCTATCTCAACCTATAAAGTTGTGTTCCTAAATAGAAAGGAGTGAGCGCAGGTATTCTTCCTATTCAGTCCATAACAAAACCAGGCTTTACACTGGGGAGAAATAGCTTAGATTATTACAATTCCAAAAAGCCACAGAAGCCAAAGAATAAGGACACTCTGGCTCTATAAATAAAGTGATCAGTCATGCTACAGCTGAGCCAAAGTAGGGCAGCAAGGCAGATGCAGGGACTGGGCTGCAAAATTGAAGGAGACGCTCACTGTCAGGGTCATGCACAGGCTGTGTCAGTACCTGAGGGGGGCACCTGGGTGCCTCACTTGCTTCCCCCTAGTCCTGGCTCTGTTCTAGAAGAAATAAGGAAGGCCAATAAAATACCTATAAACAAATTATTTCTGTATCTTTCCAACATTTTCCATAACCATCAAGTAATTTTTCAACATTTCATTTACAGCAGTGCTGCCTGCTCCTAATGATAATTTACGAAAGTCCTGTTTTTCCGAGGGAATGAAGATATCATCGCAACTGTGTAGACTTGGTTGGAGTATGGATAGAATGGCCTGAAGTCCCAATTTCTAGAGGCACATCCTGTCAGACCAACTGGCCCAGGCTGTGATTTGGAAAATAGTGTAGCTTGAATATGCAGTGAACTTGCAGCCTTTGGCTTCTTTATTAGTTGCTCTTAATTAATAGAAAAGTATATTGAGTTAACTTAGGCATATGTAATCCTTCCAGAATTTTAGAGGCTTGGGACCATATGAAATTATTCCATTCCAGCACTGCTGTACAATAGGAGACTGGAGCACAGAAAAGCTGAATAATGTACCCATTTCACATTCCTTTTGTCATGGCTGGAACAACAACCCGTACACCTCAACTCTTAGTCTTGGGCTTTTTTCTCTACAATCATGCTGCCCCTCTCCTTGGGCCATTGACTACTTAATATTCTTTTAGACAAAAGCCGTAGTAACAATGACAATAACAACAAAAACCCTGCATCAGACTGGCTCATGCAACACAATAGTCCAGAGGTATCTCTGCCTTCAGGGGCAGCTGGGTGTAGGGGTCTAAACAATGTCCTGGATTATCTCCAGCCCTGTTTGATTTTGTTTGAGGGCTCTCCAGATTAGCTAAATGCATGCCAGCTGAAGTTCTAGCTTCACCTGAAGAAGATCTTGCCTTTTTTTTTCCCCCAATAGGCCTTCCAAAGTTGCAGATTACATCTCATTGGCTCTGATTGATCAGGCGCCATTTTGGAAATAGTCACTGTGGCCAGAAGAAGGGGCCGTTCTTATTAGCCAGGCCTGAATCTCACATCCATCGCAGAGTGTATACACCGTTTGAAAGACTTGTCTGAAAGTGCACACCAGGATGCTTTTTACCAGACGAGAGGGAAGTAGATGGGACGCGTCCGACCAAGAAATATCCGCTGTGGCCTAAAAGGCAAGTTTCTTTTCACCCCAGTTTCTTAGTAAATTCATCTCCGTCCTCCACTTTCCTCTGTAACTGGTGTCTCTGTCCAGTAACCTCTTCCTTTTGCATAGCTCATTTAAAAATTTTATAAGGTATATCGTGAAAAACATCTAATGGAATTCGCCTTGCTGGGTTTTGGTCTCCTTTGAGACCCGTGATCCCTTTTTTTCCCTTCCTTTTTCTCCCTTTTGGAATGGGACTGTCTATCCTGTGCCTTTCCCACCACTGTATTTTGGAAGCAAATAATGTGTCTGGTTTTGCAGTTTCACAGAGGGAGAGGGATTTTGCCCCAGGATGTGTCACACAATAGATCTTACTTATAACTGACATAAAGGATTTAGATGATGAGATTGGGGACTTTGAGCTGGTGATTTTTACATGAGATTCTTAGAGTTAGCATTGATGCTGACATTGTTAAGACTTTGGGGGATGTGGGTTGGGGAGAGTGTATTTGGCACTGGGGAAGATCATGAATTTGGGGGGACCAGAGCAGTCTATTACAGGTTGAACTGTGTCTCCCAAACAGATACGTTCAAGTCCTAACCTTTGGTTTCTATGATTGTGACTTTATTTGGACTCAGGGTCTTTGCAGATGTAATCAGGTTAAAATGGGGTCATAGTAGATTAGGGTGGTCCCTATTCCAAATGACTGGTGTCCTTATCAGAAGAGGGATGCTTGCACACAGGCAGACATGGAGGGAAGACGGCCATGTGCAGATCGGGGTAGAGCTGGATGCTTCCACAAGCCAGGGAATGCCTGGGTCCACCAAAAGCTGGAAGCAGCGAGGTAGAACCCTCCTCAGAGGCTTCTGAGGGAGACTGGTGCTGCTGACACCTTGATTTTAGACTTCTAGCCTCCAGCCCTGTGAGACAATCACTTTCTGTTGTTTCAAATTCCCCAGTTTGTGGTACTTTGTTACGGTAGTCCCAGGAACTGAGCACAGATTCAAGAGCTATTTGTTGAGATGAATGGTGATTAAAACCTAAGTTACAAAATAAGCAAAGTGTTCCGCGGCTTTCTGGGATGTCTCGTCATCACCTGTTTACAACTTTTATTGGCTACTAAATGGAATGAACATTGGAACACTTCCCTCTTCCTTCTCCCAGTGTCCTCAGAAATTCGGATGAGGGATAAGGCCTGATATGGCTCCTTCAAGCACTAAAATGACATCAGAACACGGGTCCCACAAGAAACATACATGCAAAGCACTCTTCAGATAAGGTGAATGATGAAAAATCGTAAATAAGTTATAATAAACAATGCATTAAGATTTTATTTATTTATTTATATGATTTTATTTTATTTTTTAAAAGTAATCTCTGCACCCAATGTGGGGCTCCAACTCATGACCCCAAAATCAAGAGTTGCATGTTCTACCAATTGAGCCAGCCAGGCGCCCCCAGATTTTATTTTTAAGTAATCTCTACACCCAACATGGGGCTCGAACTCACAACCCTGAGATCAAGAGTCACATGCTCCACCGACTGAGCCAGCCAGGAGCCCCAGTGCAAGCATTTTTAAACTTACTGTTGGAAACAGCAGTGTAAGTCACATAAACTCAACTTTGGGAATAACTGTCCTATTGTTGCCCCTCTATGATTATTACAATAATGAGAGTGATTCATAGAGCAGACTCATCTGAGAACAGAGCAAGCCAGCTCCGAGGGGTGGGGAGGCAGGTCCCTATACACCTCCCCATCACTGGCTGCTGAACAGAAGGAAGCCTGTGAAAGTCGTGTCATCGTCCTCATCTGCAAACAGGCCATTAAACCTCTCCCCTCCTGTGGCCTGCATCCACACCTCATCTCCCAGCTTCAGTGGCAGCACCATGCCACCCGACGCCTGGTCCTCAGAGCTCATGTAACCGTCCTTGGTGTTCAGTATTTTCACCCCATTTTTGACCAAAGATACCTGAACATTCCTGGAGAAAACCGTGATGTGGTAGGTGAAGTAATAGACCCCGGTAATGTGGCAAGTGAACTTCCCCGTGGCTACGTCGTAATGATTGAACTCATTATACAGGATCTTATCAAATTTAATGGGCACATCTGAAGTAGGAAACTTGCTCAGTACTGTGAGCCCCACCGTGAAAGCACTCTTGGGCAAGACTGGAGTCTCGCCAATTTTCCCTTTCTCACCTCGGTCCCCTTTCCAGCCTCTCATTCCCCGGACTCCTGGATCTCCCTGGGGTCCCAAAGGTCCAGCATCTCCCTTGGGGCCAGGCTTCCCAATGGGGCCCACGGGGCCAGGTAGACCCATTGGGCCCGAAGGCCCAGTGCTGCCCTTTAGCCCTTCTGGACCGGTGGGCCCCACACTGCCTTTATCCCCCTTTTGCCCTTGAGGGCCAGTCTCTCCCCTGAGGCCTTTCTCTCCCATGGGACCAACAAATCCCTTTGGCCCATGTTTCCCTGGCGGTCCTTGTGAGCCTTGATCGCCTTTGACACCTTTGGCTTCAACTTTTCCATCTGCTCCTAGGTGGAAAAAGAGAGAATAAAGGAAAAGATGATTTGTGAAACATCAACTTCTAAAACCAACTTCGGCTTTTCCATTGTTGAGCATACAGATGAAGTAAAGCAGTGCCCAGTATCAGTAGATGCTTGGGGTCTGAACATTAATTTACTCCTAAATTGAGTGCACAGCATACACATGCACATGTGTGTGGATGCAAAACACCTTCTGACTCCTGTCTACTATGTTAGTGTTGGGGTTCACATTAGATATTACAGCTCTTTAATATCACAGCCCAGTATTTGACCACTAAGCAACGCCGATCCTTGAGAACACATCTTTGGAAGAGGGAAGAACGTCCAAAGGCAGATGAACTCAGGCTGCTTTCGGTTAACTGACAACTCAGCCCTAGTTCTGGGACATCCCCTACAAAGCTCCTCATGGGAGTGAGCACAGAATAAAGTCTTCCTAAAGTGTGGCAGTCACTGCTCTCTGTTGACCACTGTACCGACTGTGTCATGCTGGTCCTCACTGCGCATACGTTCTTGATGCTTCCCTGTCTCCCCCTCCCCGACTGGAGAGCAGTGGTTATGAGCACGGAGTCTGGAGTTAAATACCAGGATTTAGTCCTGTCTCCTCTACAGAGGCCCAACGTGACATTAGGCAAGCTGATTAGCCACCTACACCTCTGTTCCCTCATCTGTAAAATTGGGATAATGATACTACCTCATGTATAGGCTGTTGTATTGAGTCAGTACATGAAAAGCACTTAGAACACCCTAGCACAAAGTGAGCATTATTTGTGTTTGCTCTTGTGACTATTCTCTCCCCCCATAATTCACAACTACCGGAGCCCTCCTTACCCCTCAGGGCCCAATTCCAGTGCCACCTTCTCCACGCAGTCTTGCCAGAAGCCCTGAGTCAATTTAATGTCACTCCTCAATCTTCATCCACTAACCCAGGCTTCAGCGAACCACGGCCTGTGAGCCAAATCCAACAGCCTCCCACCTGTTTGTATGGCCCACAAGCTAAGAATGGTTTGCAGTTTTAAATGGTCACAAATAATATTTGACAATACATGAAAATTATATAAGATTCAGATTTCGGTCTTCATAGAGTTTCACTAGAACACAGCCCTACTTACTTATGTAGCATCCGTGGCTGCTTTTCACGACAGTTGTGCCTGAGACCGCATGGCCTGAGAAGCTGAAATTACTTACAGTCTTTCCCTTTACAGAAAAAGAATCCCAGGCTCCTGGAGAGCAAGAGCCGTGTTGCCCTATTGTTAGGTCGTCCTCAGAGCCTAGCAAAGGACTTGTCCTTGGTGAGCCCCAAATGGTTATTAAGTCACCGATGGCTCAGAATTAGAGCATGGTAAAATGGAACACAATTTCTGACCTCGCTCTCCTTTCTCTCCATTCATTCCATCCTTCCCTGGACCACCAGGATGTCCTGGTTCTCCTAGGTGGAAGAGAAGAAAACAGACAAGAGTTAAAGTTCCAGTTCCACATTTCCTAGACATTGGTCTCTATCGGGAGTGTAGACCAGAGAGTCCTGGGTGTGTGCCCAGCCCTGACACGCACACTGCCCCTCACAGAAGGCAGACGTGAGTGAGCACCAGGGGTGCAGAGTTGTATAAGAAGTGAATTATGAAATGAACTGGGTGGACCTCCCAAGCACCCAGCTCCGGGAAGGCAGAACAGGAAAGGAATATGTGCACAGATGATCACAATTACGTCTTTCTCTGGTGAGGGGAACTCGGGTAGTGACTGATCATTGGAGGTACTGGGTGGCCTTCTTGCTTCTCCTTTTCTGTCACTCTTGCACAGAGTGGAATGGAAGGTTCACTAGCCTCCTATGAAAACACAGATGATTATGGTTACCTGGCAATATTTGGGATGGAAGGGAGGATTCTGGAAGGATCTCTCCAGCACTTTAGAGTGGTGGTAAATGTCACTGATCAAGCTGGCATGGCAGACGCCATTGGAAACATCAGGTGAGTGAGGTTTTGCCTACCACACATCAATTTTGAGCTTAGAGCAGGCAACCCTGAGCTCCGACTTCCCATGTTACAAGTCAACGTCTCTAGAGTCAAAGGCAGTCCTTGCTGTAAGGAAGGAGAGTGGAAGCAAAAGATGAAGGGGTCATGAAATCAGAGTTGTATCCTGTGCATGTACACACATAGGCACACACATGTGCACCCACATCCACACATACATGCACACTGTGGTCCCAGTAGGAGGTTAAAAGAATGGATTTCACTGACATTGAGATTTTGCCATTAACTTGGACTGGGCTTTTTACTACCCAGAAATAAGACTGGTCTAATGCCAAAAAGTGGCATGGACTCACTGGAGATGTTATCCCTTGGAGACCCCCAGCGCAGATTTGCAGGGCAATGGTTGGAAAGATGGTTGGTGACCGTCTGCTTCATCCAGCCCACCCAACAAACCCCTTGGAGCACCAAATGCCACAAACAGGGAAACACCTAGAAACACCTAGACTTTCCTTCATCTGTACAGCAGACTTCCCATAAGTAATTTGTTCTAATACTCATTTCTCCAGATTAACAAAGACTTTTTAAAAATCCATATGCCAACAGCATTTGCTGGCAAAGCACTAATTTTAGTCCATCCTGAAGTTGCTTTCTGTGTATTATTTCAACCACTGTTAATATAGCCAGAGGAATGGCTAATCTTCTGATATGATTATAAAATATCAAGAAGGCTTCTAAATGTTCATCATTAAGTTTAGTGATGTTTTCATACTATAACGTATAGCTGAGGAAAAATGACAGTGGTTTGTGGTCACGTTCCACAAAGAGTCCTGAAATGTCTAATTAATTGGGGGTGCTTCTATTAATAACTGACAATTTACAGTGAGGATGAGGCATCTTAATGAATGTAAATGTAAATTCATATGTCCAAACTCCTAAAATTTCTAGGTTTTTGTCAGACTTCTTGTCAGATCTGATTAGTTCATCATTGATTTCTCCTACTCATGTATGGTTGAAGAGTTCACACTAAGAAGACAGATGACAGCTCTCCTATTTTCATGGGATTCTTTAATGTTTGCATTATCAAGTCAACCTTCAATCTTCAATTTCTCTGCAGAAGTATTTCAGGCACCCATCTGTTTGTGATAGTTCGATAGGACAATTTGAAAATCCCTTGGGCTGGGCTGTAACCACAATACACCACAGTGCACTGATGGACAGTGAGTGTGTGAGGGCACAGGACATATTTCAGGCCTCAAATGACACGTCTATCTGCAAAGGGACCAAGTGAAGCCACCCAAGCCAATTCACATATTAAATATTTTTAAAGCTCAGTTTTTTTCTTCATCTAAATTTATCTTTTAAAATGTCAATGGTAGGGGCGCCTGGGTACCTCAGTTGGTTAAGTGTCCGACTCTTGATTTTGGCTCAGGTCCTGATCTCAGGGTCATGGGATTGAGCCCCATGTTGGGCTCCGTGCTCAGCAGGGAGTCTGCTTGAGATTCTCTCTCCCTCTCCATCTGCCCCTCCCCCACTGACTCATTTTCTCTCTCTCTCTCAAGTAAATCTTTTAAAAAAAATAAAATGTCAGTAGTAGTTTTGATGTTTTCTCTCTGCACTGAGATAGATCAATCTGCTTATGTCTCAGATATGTGACCCTATGGTCAGACGCAGGCTCAAGAAGCCCATTCAAGAACCAAGCCTATCAGTTCTTGTTATGGAAACCACTCACATATCCTGCCTTTTGCAAATCTCCTTCTTAGAGGCTGGATTCTGTCCCCAAACTCCCAAACCCTGGGGCAGGCCCCAACACAGGGCATACACACCTGAGTACCGCTGTGTGGCTTCAGTTACCGTCTACTTTTGTTTTCTCTGTCACTCCATGTCACCTGCCTCACTGCGTGGCAAGGCATTAACTCTCCCCTGCACTGCAGCTAGGTGCTCTCTGCTAAATATTTATAGTCAGATTTCTCTATAGGCCCCGTGTGCCAAAGACCCACCATACCTGCCATAATACTCCTGAAGATGGCCTGTAGTATCAGAGGTGATGGCTAACAGTTGTCCCCTCTAGATGAGAGCGCCCGTGGAGGGGGGGCCCTGTTGGTCTGGTCCTGCACTGTCGCCCAGAATCTGACCTGGAGCAGGCTCTTGGCTACTGCTTTCTGGGCAAGGGCTGCACGAATGAAGGAGGGGGGAGTGGGCAGGTGATGGCTATGCTCATGATGAATGAACGAATGATCTCAGAGGAACAGAGGGGTAAACGCAAGGGCAGCTGAAGGCCACCAGATGCTGAGTACCTGCCTCACCCTTGTCGCCCTTTGTGCCATCTCGTCCATCTCTCCCAGGCAAACCATTGTGACCAGGATTCCCAGGGACGCCAGGGTGCCCTTGCCTGCACGTGTCCTGCGAGTTCACATTTCTCGTGCAGATTCCAATGACAAGCAGGAGCAACCAGATCCTCATGGTTCAGATGACGGAGCTGAACTGCAAGAGGGAAACAAACACCAAAAGGAGAAGCCTTTGTTGCTGGGACCACAGACACACCCTCTGTTCCTTGCCGTGGGACCCGGACCCAGCCTGGCTCAGCCTTGGACAGAATGGTCAGGGCAGATAAGGGCAGGACCTGGTAGCAGACAAGCTGCTTGCAATCAGAGGGCCATTGTTCAAGGACGCCTGGGTGGCTCAGTCGGTTAAGCGTTTGCCTTCAGCTCAGGTCATGACACTGGGTTCCTGGGATCGAGCCACGCATCGGGCTCCCTGCCCAGCGGGAAGCCTGCTTCTCCCTCTGCCTCTCCCCCGTTTGTGCTCTCTCTCTCATAAATAAATAAAATCTTTAAAAAAAGGAAGAAAAAGCAGAAGGCCATTGTTCTTGGAAGGAACACATGTGACCGGGACTGCTTTTAATGGTGAGTGGTCAAGGAGAAAGCCAAGGTCCAAGTCAGATACTTCCATTTATCACTCTACTTTGGGTAAATCGCTTTTCAGAGCCAGAGAAGAGATTAATACTTGTCTCCCAGGGCTGCTGTAAAAACCAAATTTGATCACAATGTGCATGAGAGCACATTTTCACTAGGAAAGCAAACTCCGGCAGCTACTTGTACACCCCTGTTCACAGCAGCCTTATTCACAGTAGCCCGAAGTTGCAAACAACCCACGTGTCCACGGACACATGACTGATTGTACAGAATGTGATATACACAGTGGACTATTACTCAGCCTTAAAAAGGAAGGAAATTCTGACGCATCCTACAACAGGGATGAACCTGAAGGACTTTATGCTAAGTGTAATCAGCCAGACACAATAGGACCAGTACGGTAGGATTCCACTCGTATGAGGCCCCCAGAGTGGTCACATTCACAGAAACAAAGTAGAATGGTGGAGGCAGCAGCCAGGGGAGGGGGACTGGGAGCTCCTGTTCAAAGGGGATGGTTTCAGTTTGGGAAGATGAAAAAGTTCTGGAAGTGGGTGGTGGGGACAGTTGAACAATGAGAACGTCCTTAATGCCACTGAACTGGACACTTAAAAATGGCTAAAGTGGTAAATTTTATGTCACGTCTATTTTACCACAATAAAAAAATAAATAAAATGGAATGAAAAAGTAAAATGTTCCAAGCAGTCCTATGATCAGATGTGTTCTTTGAGTTAAGGTTTTGTTTCTCTGGGAGACCGCGGCGAAGGGCACGCGCACACACACCGCAGGGCACCCCGTTTGTGAAGCACACTTGCACGTCCTCTCGCAAGTTCCTGATTTGCTTTTGAACCCTGTCAGGAGCGAAGGCAGTGCTGCATGGTGAAGTTTGCAATGAGATCTGAAGGAACAAAGCAGCTAATTAGACCAAGTGTTCTAGACAAAGGGAACACTCAGGCAAGAGCCTAGGCTAGTGTGCACACAGGATTCAGGGACCCTCCCGACGACATCAAATCTCCCCAGGGAGGGGCACCGCATCCCTCTCTTTCATGGCACCGTAGTAGGGGGTTGCATCTGTTCATGTCGTTGTAGGGCTAAAAATCTGGCTCTCCATCTGACTGTGTTTTCATTCTTATTGTATTCCAGTTCTCAGTATTAAGCCTGGAACCATGTGTTAAATAAATATGTGTCGAATGAAGTGAATGTGTGGTGGCAGGTATCTTAGGACGTAAAAAATAATAACACGACATTAGTGCGACAGCTCAGAACTCAGATTCTCCTACAGTGCTGAAGGCAACGGATGTCTGCCCAGCACTTCAGAAAGCTAAAGAGAAAAGACATCTTAAACCCAGTGATCTCCTCCTGAAAATTCTTCTTAATAATCCAAAATCTGCGTGCCAACAATATTAACCATGGTGTTATTTGTAATAGTGAAAAAGTACATACCACATAACATGTAACAGTAAGTGGTTCAGAAGTAGAATATCATGTAACCATTGTAATAATTATGTAGTTCATGTAGAAATATGTAAAAGATCCACGTTGTGTTGAATTTTCAAAAAGTAGACTAAAATGCATGCACGGGACACCTGGGTGGCTCAGTTGGTTAAGCGTCTGCCTTCAGCTCAAATCATGATCCCAGTGTCCTCGGATCCAGTCCCACATCGGACTCCTTGCTTAGTGAGGAGCCTGCTTCTCCCCTGCTTGTGCTCTTCTCTCTCTCTGACAAATAAATAAAATCTTTAAAAAAAAAAATGCCATGCACATGATGAGGGTGCCTATGTAATTATGTATTAGTAGTGACAAAAACTAGAAGCAAGTGAACATGGTTGCTTTAGAATTGTGGGGTTATGGGAGTTTTTCCTTTTTAAAAAATGTTTTTTTGCCTTGTCTATTAAAATATTTCTAGATCTATATTTTTAAAACCAGCTAGACTTGTCATCCAAAGGATTACATCGCCATCTTATGGAAGCCTCTGAATATCACAGGGTCCACTTTGATGCAAATAAAGTAATTTTGGAAAAGGAAATACAGCTGTTTCCCTTTGAAGTCACAAACTTAAGCCATTTCAGGAAATTGAGTTGTTTTCATAGAGCCAAATTCCATAAATAATCTACACCATCCTCTTCTGTTTAACTCAGAAGTGACTGGTAGTAGTTGAATCTAAATGGCCCAGACCAACCTCTGTTAAGGGGTCTAATTTTTCCTTTTTAATTTTTAAAAAACGTGTGTTACAATTATTCCAATAATACAAAGATCACAAGATCATAAAGGTGTCAAATTAAGATGAACTCCAATCTGTCCTCCAGCTAGAGAAGAACTAAGATAAAAGCAAGCATTCAGGGGCACCTGGGTGGCTCAGTCATTAAGCGTCTGCCTTCGGCTCAGGTCATGATCCCAGGGTCCTGGGATCGAGCCCCGCATCGGGCTCCCTGCTCAGCGGGAAGCCTGCTTCTCCCTTTCCCACCCCCCTGCTTGTGTTGTCTCTGTCAAATATAAATAAATAAAATCTTAAAAAAAAAAAAAGCAAGCATTCATCCTTCCGTAATTTCTCTAGTTTTGTGTACTTGCTTCTTCCCCGTGCCGAGCACGTAGGCAACCTTCAACAAATGACTTTGAATAACTGAATATGCTTTGCTCCCAAATAAATAGTGAAATAAGTGATGGCACTGTGTCTCATAAGAAAACTGAGATGAGGGACCTGAGGGCTCGCACAAAGAATGCATATAGTAAACATTATATTAATATGTTACTTATAAAAATAAAAAGTTACATTTGTTGTCTCAGATGCTAAGCCATGTCTTGACTAAGGCAAGGCTCCTGCTGTCAAAGTGTGAGCACTCACCCAAAGTGAGGGAGGTTTGTGGCCATGTGCAGTCACCCAATCATCAGAGTAGCCGAGCATTCCCTCGATATACAGCCCTTCAGGCAACAGGTTAAAAAACTGAAAACAGTCACTGCCTCAGACAGATCCATATAAGCCTGCGAATCATAGAGAATAGAGGCAATCCTTCTGTTGAACGTCAAGTTCATGGGGCGAAGGACCCTGTCATTCTGCTGTGATCTCATAACCCTGACCCGCTGACACGGTTCAGGGCAGAGGCACACAGACTGCAAAGGGCTTTGGAGTTAGAACCCCCACCCCCTCAATAATTCCTTATTTAGTTCCTGATTTCCGGGTGGTTTCTCCTATGCTCGACCTAGTTCTCCCTCACTCCTGAATTTCTTGATAAAATGTTACTTAGTTTACTGAAAGGCCTGCCAGAGGCCGGCTGAGCAATCTGTAGTGGGTGTCCCAGCCTCTGAGCCTCCGCATCTGTGCATCGAATCCAAGGGCTGAAATAAGGCCTAACGTCCCTCCCACATTCAACAGTTTAAGGATCTAAACATCACAAGATGTTTCCTCGTCGAATACATTTTCTTCCACATGCTCTACACATTGTACACTTCATGTATTTCTTCTTCAGCATACGTGAAGGGGCTTGTTTTTAAGCTATGCCTTGTAAATTAGTATTTACATAAATATATAAAAACGTACACACCGAAATTTGTGCCAAATAATCTACCAGCTTCTCTAGAAAGCTCTCTTGAAAAGTCTGCTATTCTTACAAGGTTTTCTACAGCGCCTTCCCTCCTCTCAGCCAGTGTGCAGTGTTCCGGCAGAAGAACTTCAAAATCTGCTTTTATCTCCTGTCCACTCTCTTCCTCAAGAATGAATTTTGAACCCAAAACTCTGTAGGATCTGCCTATTTTTGCAAACAATTAAGCAGGATCATCACACACCAAAAATGTAAGAGCCCCATCTTCAGACTCTGATGCCTTAAACCGAATTTAAAGAAATTGTTTCCTACTTACCTGACCCCCAGGGCTGCAGGCTGCACCCAGGTGCTGCACAAACCAGGAATCAAGGGCTAACTAAATAAAATCATGCCTTCCTGCCATACAATTCCCTAGTGGGTTTAGCTGCAAAACAGCAGGAAGGGGAGGGAACAGAGTAAGGCACAAGATCTCTTGGAAGAACTTCAAGAATTGCAGCCACACTTGCTTGAGTCAGGTAGCATCTTCTACTGGTACCGGTTCAGAAAACTTAGCTCCTTTCCCCCGTCCTTTTTAATAAAGGGAGAGAAAGCATGGTACACTTTCAAGTAGTCTGGAAGAAGGAATCCACACAGCAGGTGTCTTTCCGGAAAGTGATGTTTATGCCTTTGCCTCCGCAGCTTCCCTGCTGACCCTGGGCCAATTACAGGCCGACAGGACAAAACCGAAGACGAACAGATTATTTGAATTCCCAGAACATTGGAATGGACATCATTTAACTAGATCTCTCGAACTTCTGTATAGATCCTTTGATTTTAGACACTTGTGTACATTGGAATTTCATGCTCGTCTCTACACACAAAAACACACACACCCCATCGGCCATTGAGAGAAGCATGGTGCAATGATTTTTTTGATGCCATGTAATCATTAATTTTTAATTTTTCCCGATCAGAGTCTATGAACATGGATCTCAAACTTAAAAATAGCATCAGGAGAACAAATGTACTCAACGCTGTGTTGAGAACCAACTCAGAGAACCTAGTCGGATTGCAGAGGCCACACAGAGAACGGGGTATGGAGGGTGTAGGGCAAGTCCCCCTGAACAGAGGCAACACCCTCTCTACTCACCATGCCTCAAAGTCCTCATCTGGACCGCGGGCAAAGCAGTTCCAACGTCCCAGGGAAGTGGCAGGATTTAATTTGGTGACCTGAGTCAAGGTGGTCTCTCTCCCACCATCCCATGGTAGGTGCATCTCTTGATCCC